GGAAGGTTAGGCTACATGTATGTATGCACTATGAAAATTCTTACAGTACAACTGCTACTGTAACTAGCACAATCCCAGAATCCTTTCAACACTTGATTGGAAATTGCTCCAATCAAGGTCCGTGTAGTTTAATTACATATTAGCCCATAAATTACATGAATAGAAAAGAAGATCTCAGAGAGACAGCAGAGGAACAACCAAGAAAGTTAACTTTCCTCATTCCTCGTAAGAATTTTGTTTGCTATTTATTACTATCTCTATTTTTTTGCTGTTATAGAGTAAAACAATAGATTCCCGAACGAAGACTTTGATAACTGATTTGGTTGGTTTATCCTGGTATTATTTCTACTTGATGGTACGGTATGGTAGGAAATCATTTGATGACAACACAACTTCATACGGTATCGACAGTGAAGCGGTTGAACGAAAATTCAGGACCAAGATTTCAGGTACGTAATGAGGGTGAAGTCGTTTTCTAATTGAGGGTTTACATTTTATTGATTATACTGGTTAATTATTAGAAGTTGTAACTTCGTGGGCTAATAGAATCATGATTTAGCTTGGTTTTTAAGCTGTATGAATTCAGCTCAAAACTTATCCAAATTAAATGGAACACTTTCAAGAACATGAAAAAGTTATCAGTGCTAATAGTGGTTCCTAATATTGAATAAAAAGAAAAACCGCTCCAATAGAAACTATGCTAAGTGTGATTTTTGAATGGTACCGTTATGTTTCTGTCTCCGACGGGTACATGATTATATGGAACGAATTTAAAATAAAAACTGCACTCCTTCTTAATATTGGCAGCGATTAGAACGATTAAGTTTCTTTCATTTTCGCTCGAAACATCACAAAATCATGTGGCGGTTATTTTAGATGTGAGTGGTTCTAGTAGAATTTTAGCGTTAAACTTTAAATTATCTCTTTAGTGGTAATTACTAACAGCAAAATGTGGTATGATTTTTCCACCAATCGGAACGTTCGCATACCTTTACCCTTTGGCTCCTAATTTCCTTCAAAGCATCCAATATCTCCTTGCAATATCATGTCTGAATCATATTTTAAGGTTACATGAAAAAGGGAAGTGATCAACAACCGAAGAAGCTCTTGATTGTTAAAAAAATTCTTCTTATCAGCCCCTTAGGAAGTGTCTAGAGAAAAAGTTCGGCGAATATGCATACTGATGCTGGTTGTAAACCTAACAGGGTGTAAAGGGTTACCAACGGAAAGCTATTTCGAAATATCAAGAGGTCCAGTAAATTAACATCACTTTGTGTGGAACATCGAGCTCTGACAATTTTCTTTTTTTTTTTCATTTCAGCACCAAAGCCCCCGGTAATATCGAACTGCAGTTCTTGGAGTAATCTAAATTCTAAGCCTGCCTTGACGGTCACCTGGGTTGTAAGTTCCCTCTGTTTTTTTATTTCTTTTAGCTCTAGTACTTGATTGATTGCTGGGAAAAAGTCTATTTTGTTGGGAATGCATTCTTTTTGTTGTGATGTACAGTTATAAACAATCCGTTAGCTCGCAAGCAGGCGGCTCTCTACGGCTAGCCGGATTCTAGAAGAGTCGGGGAGATGTTTTCCGGGGGTCTGGCATTATCAGTGTTAGACCCCTTGCAGACCTCCCGTTGGCTCGCGTTGTTCAACGCTTCATACTTTCCCGCAGGCGGAGAAACGCTTGTGCCGAAATGCTGATGATACGTGCCTGCTCGCAAGCTAGCGATCAGTTAAATTGTTCAGGGTAATACGGAGATACGTGCGCCCTGATTGGTCGAGAATTACGTTTGTGCTCGTCGTGGCGGCATTCAACGGCTGCAGCTTTGAGTTGGTTATGCTCAGGTGAATCGTCTCTTGATTCTAGGTTCCAAAAGCGGAGTATTTCAATGGCCCATTGAGGAATGCTGTCGTACTTTACCGTTGTCAGAGAGGAAACCAGTTAATCTCAGGAAATATAACCACCAATAATGGTAGCACTCACAGTGTGGTCATTCCTGCTCTTAAGCCGTCTGACAGATGCAATGTGCAGATGAAGCTGTGTAATGAACCGGGTCAGCTATGCAGTGTTGTTAGCGGAATTTGCCGCACTGGCGACACAGAAGGTATGGGTTGACTAAAATAACCGCAGAAAGTAAACAGAAGGTCGTAAGCCCAGTGGCTCGCACCAACGGAGCTTGTTACCTTTTCCTCCAGCATGAAGATCATACAGTAGTCAGAGATTTTGTTGTTATTTTGTTTTTGGTTGTTTTTTTTTTTCCGTTGGGGCACAGTTTTCCGGTTCGTAGCGACAGTGAGCTAGTTTTGGCGATTTTCGGTTCAAGGAGTAGAACCCTGACAACAGAGGAAACAAAGCAAAAATTCCTTAGAGAAAAACTTCTTTGTACACTTTTTTAAACCGTTACCCATGGTGTTCACCCAATTCTATGCCCAGTCTCCTTTTCCATTTTCTTTCTTTTTTTTTCTATGATTAATTCTACCTGTGTTCTTCCTTTTTCAGTAAGTTCTGTGCCGCCATACAAGGTTTCTAAAAAAAACCTCGCCAAAACAATATTGATCGCCGTGGCGGGAGCAGTTGGAGGAATTTTCCTGGTGTTTGTCGTCTTCATGTGCTATAGGTGAGGTCGATTATTCTTTACGGATGAGGGTAGGGAAGGGGGGTCGTTGTTCACTACCGGTGGGCAGAAAGTTATGGAAGGGATATTGTGTTTGTAATCAGGTGGAGGCATAGGTGGTATCTCGTTGAGTCCTGTTTTAATTCAGTGAGAGAGGAAATTGCAATTTCAAATTTTCAAATTTATTTCACTTGAACTCTTTCCAACAGAAATCGTCCAAGAGGAAGCAGAAGACCTTCTTTGGGAGCTGTTCTGGTAAGAGGGAAAGAAAACCATAAATAACCCATATCATGTGTGTGAATAGATTTCAAATTGTAAATGTTAAGCTTGGTTGTAGCGTCATACATTTGCGATAAATGATAAAAGGTTTCTCAATTTTTTTTTTTCACGACCGAGCCCAAAGTACACTACACCTCTTAACTCTTGACCCTTTAGAGTGACTTACATCTAATCTCTCCTTACAATATTATCCCCAAATTACACACTAAGGTCACGAGATTAAAAGAAATGATCACCAATTAAAGAGGCTCTCAATGTTTAAACAAATTCTCCTTGTCAGCACCTTGGGGAATGTATAAAGAAAATTATGGAGAATATGCATACTGATGTTACGGTCTAAAGAGTGAATATAATAAACACTATCACTATTTGACCATACATACCTGACTACAGCTAAAACATGGAGACATCTCCATTCCAGCCTCGTTAAAATCCTTTCTTTTTTCGTGGTATCTTGTTATTTTTTATTTTTATATTTTAATTTTCTTTTTGTTTGTGATCGGTTTCCAAATGGTATTGAACTCGAATTACTACAGGGTCAAGTGTACGCGCGCTCACGCTGATGGGACGTGGCCAATCTTCACAGCGTTTCATAACATTACAAAAAGAGTGTGACTTCTACTGTTTATCGTTAACTGTTTTCTAACCCTTAAATCTTCACATCAGTATGCATATTCTTCTTTCTGTTCTTTATATATTTCCTATGGTGCTGACAAGGAATCTGTTCAACAGTCAAAACCTTTTCTGTTGGTGATCATTCCCTTTATTCTCATGACCCAAATGTTTGATTCAGGGGTGATATTGTAAAGAGAAATAAGATGTTAGTCATTGTTAGAGATAGAGAGCGTTGAAATGGTCGACAACAGGCCACCGTAAAAATTCAGTACGTTGTCTTCATCAGACATCAGTAGTTGCTAAGTTAGAAGAATTTCCGTTTTTTTTTCTAATACAGGATATGCCCCCAATCCATGGCTATGACGAGATCGAGGAGTCTTTGGATGATGAAAACTACGATCGATTAGAAGTAAATTAAATGGATCAACTTACTAATGAAATCCAACCAATGGCAAGAAAGAAAGTCGAATGTGAAGACAAAAGATTAATTCCTGAGTAGACTAGAAAAGCAGCGGTGACTATACTGAAGTAAAGGGGTGTGGTATTTTATGTAAGTAAGTATTTTGGGGAAAATAAGACATTGTTCTCCTCTGCGCACTGCGCATGCTTGCCCATCGGTAACAATTGCTTCTTTTCTCGTGATAGTTTCGGCTGTTAAACTCAAGTAAATAATCATCGTCGAGGTACCAGTGCACACCAAAATAGACCGTTTCCGAGATGTGCAAAGCCTCTGTTTTAAACCGAGGCTGTGTCTGGGGCCTTTGATCGGGAAATGATCATGTAAACACAATGCAAATAAAACTCTTTCCCGTAAGAAAGGTTTTGCAATGGGCCTCGTTTGGAACTGAGAGGTATTAGAACTCGGAAATCGCACCTTAACGATGCCGCAAAAGAACGCATGGCATATTTTTGGACTCTTCCGGGTAGAACTTCGTGAAAAATTTGACGAGTTTACTGGCCGTGAACTGAGGAAATTTTTGTTGCAATGGAGTAAGAATGCGCTTAGGAGAATGGAGAGCCTCAAATTCCCCAGACAACGTCCGTATGGGCGCACTGATATATAATAGGTGGGAAAAAATATAGCAGATACGGCAGAAAACGGCACAGTAGCTTTGTAAAAGACTGGCAAAGGCCGGAAAAAAAAAAAAAAAAGGAAAAGAGCTATGAAATGTAAATAAATGAAGAAGGAGATAGTTGTTCCACATAAAGCACATCAAATTTAAAGATAATTCGACGCTGTTTATTCGTAAACGTAACTAGTACGTACTTGATGAAAATCACATAACACACTGGATAAGGTTTGAAACGAGAAGCGTGCCTTTAAGTTGAGTACAGATAGCAAAATAGCCAATAAACATTTGGTTGCACGAACAACTTTTCACCGAATTGGATGTAAACATTCACCACTTTCGCCTACATTGAGGTGAATAATTGTTTTAGTGCGTACCTTGCAGAAATACAAAAAGTTAGTTTAATTCTGTCAAAATACCGAAAAGTGGTCGGAAATCAAACTCTTGACGCACAATTTTGACTCTTCCGCTGCTTGGAGGTAAAGAATACTTGTTACTCACTTCCAAACAAACCAATCAGCCTTATTCACCAGTGTAGTATATATTATTACCTAGAGTAATATATACCTATATTTATTTTCTTCATCTCAGAAATAATGAACGTAGTGCATTACACAATACTACACAGATGTATACACAGATGTCAATAGACATGAGTTCATTCGACCAGCCCAGAATTTTCTTTCAGTTGCATCAGGTGTCTTAGATTTTCTTGCCATAAAAATTGGCAGAGTATACAATACTAATTTTTATAAAAACGGATAGTTACCTTTAATTTTCAAAGGAAAAGGGATCAGAGTAAACTTAGATATGTGCAGCAAATGAATGAAACAAGAGCACATGATAATTCAGGGTTGGCTTACGATACCTATTATAATTGTAGGGAGCCGATTTAATCGGTTTGGATTATTTGTAACAAAGAAATGAGATTAATATTAAAGGAAAGCTTCCAATAAGAAAATCGTCACTGCTTTCTATTTCTAAGAACAACTCGACGGATTTGATTGTTGAGCAAAGTAGCGGTGCACATCCAGAGCCATTCGGGACAAAAACTAACAAACCAACCCTAAAGATAAAAAAACAAAAACAAAAACAAACAAAAGAGATATGAAAGGCAATTTCAATTATGCGAATGAATAGATAAGAAAAATCATCAACAATGCACCGTTGGGCTTTCCAAGGCCAGGGATCGCTTGGGCATGTTGGTTTGGTAATACAAGTTGGTTTTTGTGTAATACAAGAGTTGTAAAGTTCTCTAGAGGTTGCGGAGAGTTGTGGGTGCAGATAACAACAACAAAAAAACCAAACAAACAAACAAATGTGCTTAAAAATATTACAAATAAACTCTTGCGATCATTAGAAGGTCATCATCAGAGTGTAAAGGGAACACTTATGGCTCGCCTTAAAGAACTAAATTAACACAAAAAATTAGAAAATCAATAAAATGGAAAGTTTTCCCAGTTTTACATTGTGCCTAACAGCACCTCTGCTTGGTTTTGTTATTTTGTTTTTCTTTGTTTGTTTTTTCTAACTAGAAGTAAATCTCTCATTAGTTTCAGAGGCAAAATAAAGTGTGAATCCCCATTCAGTAACTAAAATAATATTGTACCCAATTCATTGACCAGCTCCCAGTTGGCTTGTTAGCTCAATTGGTAGAGCGCTGCACCGGTATCGCAGAGGTCATGGGTTCAAATCCCGTACGGGCCTCAAATTTTTTTTCAGGTCCTACTTACAACTACTAGTTTCAGTAGTGTTCTTAGCTGCGAGGATCTTCTAATTTCATAAAATAATTTTGTTTCTTCAATGAATTCCAAAACTAGCCAGGCATGTATAAGTTGCAGTTCCTTAAAAAGAAAAATACCGAAAACCAAGACCACCGCTAGGAGCAAAAAAAAAAAAAAAATTGAGTGAGTTAGATAAGGAATGCGTGAAAAGCTAAAGTAGCATGAAAAACTGTAAATAAAATAGTGAAATACCTGAATACCATGACTCCAGTAGCCTGTGTTTCGTCTTGACAATCCCAGTGTGTAAAGTGCACTCTTCACGTACGTTTCAGGTGATGGAACAACGATATTAGCTTTTGTACCGTATGTCATGGCTGTGGCCACGTAAAACGGTCTCAGAGACTGGAACAGAGGAAACACCATTTAGCGTTTGTTTCACCAGTTCAATTTCAATAATTCATTTCCTTGTTACTAGTTTTTGTACCGTTTACTTTTCAAACAATTCATCGTATCACTACATTCTTTGTGTAATACTACTGGTAACTTTTTTTTCCTTGTGCAATAAATTTGAAACTTGAGTGTTATCATTTCTGGAGCAATGCACTTCGTTCTAAATTTATCAAGAGGATTTGGTGACACAAGGAAATCAGACTGTGGCGGAGAAATTCGATCATTCTTTGCTAAAACATGAAGAGATACTGTGAAAATTTACATGCATATAAACCATTATCGAGATCAAAAAAAGGCAAAATATCAAGTATTAATTAGAAACCAATATATTTAAAGAAGAACTACAAGTTTGTCACTTAGAGCAAATGAATTTTCAAATCAATGTTGAAAACAAAATCGTCAACTTTTTTCTTTTTGAAATGCTGTGCTGTTATGGTCGCTGTCATTGGTCCATAGGTGTGTATAGATGACGCAATGTAAAATCAGCCGTGATTCCAAAGATTCGCCCATATTTTTTTAAGAAGATTGTAAAAAAACGGTTGAAGACTTCTTGCGGGAACTTTCTCAACCTCGCTACCAAGGAGATGGGGATATGTAGACACAGAAATATTCAGTTGCTTAAATGTAAAATCATACCTGAACTTCAATCCCTTGCGGGGCATACTCAAAAGCAAGAGCACGTGAAAAACTGTCCACAAATTCCTGTTTGGAACAACAGCAAAAGAGAATGAATTGAGTACGTGAAATGTGCGAGTAATTGGGTAACATATCTTTAATAGTTTAGGTTAATGAGGCGTGGCCACCAAGTGGAAAAGTGGAAAAGCGTTCACCTGCGACTCTTCGAGAGAGAGACTACGCTTAGACTGAAAATAGGCATAAAGAATTGAGGTTGCCGTCAAGAAAACGGAGATTTTTTCAAACTAGTTGTGCTACTGCACACGTTACTTTACTAGATAAACCAGGCTTTCATCCGCATAATTAACAAGACACTTCAGTTGCCTCATCAAAGGTCTCTTTTCTAGTACAAAGCAAACAAACATACAAAAAAGATGGAAGAACAACAAAGAAACAAGAGCAATTAAAACAAATACCTGGATCACCAGAGTAGAAAAACGACACAACAATGAAAAAAAACACAAAAATTATAAATGTACATGATTTTTTTTACCTTAGTTGCAGCATAGACTGTCATCTGGGGTGTAGGCAACTCTCCTGCACTAGACGACATGTTAATAATTGCGCCCCGTTTCCTGAAAGTTGTCACAACATGGTAAGCTACGAAGAATTGGAAAAGTTCTAACTTAACCCTTTACACCCTAACATCAGTATGCATACTCTCCACACTGGTCTTTATACATTTCCTCAGGCGCTGACAAGGAGAATTTGTTTAACAATCAAGAGCTTCTTAACTTAGTGATCATTTCCTTTATTCTCGTAAGCTACATGAGTGATCCAGGAATGATATTATAAGGAGAAATTAGATGCTAGTCACTTTTAGCGGTCACAGGGCTTAGAGGGGAAGATAAGTACTGTCACGCCATATCAGAGGTAGTGATCCTCTCTTGGGTGATTGGCATGGAGAGGCTTAGTGAAGGGAGGGGGGCTTATTAGAGAGAGATAATGAGAAAGGGGGGGGGG